TGAGTCTGAAGAAGAATGTATGGGCTAGTACTGGACATATGGGCTACTATCAGAGTTTTGGACTTGATCTGGACTTGGCTGGGATGTTTTCTCAATATACAATTGCTCTTGTTACAGAGCTCCCTCCTACATTCATATGAGTGTCTCTGGATTTGTGTCTCTAGTCAACCTGGCCTAACACAGGTGGCAGTCTCCTTCCATAAAGGCCACAGCCTTGGAAAGCCCATGGGGCAGTTCTCTGTTCTGCAGCATCAGAACTGATTCAGTGGCACCTGGTGGACAATGCCCACTATGGAGTGATTCAGATGACCAGGCCAGTGGGCTTTGGGAATGGATGTGCTTCTTTAGGGGAGCCATGATGGCATAGTGGTTACGTGTTGGGCACTGATCTGCAAGGTCAGAAGTTTGAAACCACCACCCATTCCAAGGGAGGAATATGAGGCTTTCTACTTTGTAAAGAGTTAAAGTCTTGGAAATTCACAAGGGCAGTTTTATCCTGTCCTATAGGGTCACTGTGAGTCAGTATTGACTCGATGGCTGTACGTTTGTTTGTTTGGGTGCTTTTTGGTGAGAAGATCACTGGGGCCTGGCGTTTCCACCCTTTGAGCCACCTATTGGTCCTTTGTGTCTTCATTAAAAAACTATTGTGTGGGCACCTGCTCACCCATTCCCTGTGCAAAACTGTTGCAAGATAGCAATGATAAGCTAGAGAATGGTTTTTCCTCTACGGGAGACACCTTAAAGAATTGTGTCAAACCCAAGTGCACTGCTATCCAGTCTGTTACTACTTATCTCCCCGCCATTGAGGCACTTCTGGCTTGTAGGAGCCTGCAGGACACGGTAGAACTGCCCCGTGGGATTCTGAGGCAGTGACCTTTTATCGAAGTAGGTAGCCTCACTCATCTTTCTCCCTCTGAGTGACTGTTGGCTTTGAACTGCTGACCTTGTAGTTAGCAGCCCAGTGCATAATCCACTAAGCTACCAGGGATCTTAGAATCTGAATTATAGAGACCCTGTCTGGGACAGAGTGGAACTGCCCCTTGGGGTTTCCAAGGCTGAAAATCTTTACTGGGGCAGAACACCTCATCTTTCTCCTAAAGAGCAGTTAGTAGTTTTGAACTTCTGACCTTGCAGTTAGCAGCCCATCACTTAACCAGTTACAACATAATTGTGTAAGCCAGTATTTAATAACAACAGAGGTAAGGGACAGGCACGGGGTGAGAGAAGAGTATGTTCTGGGGGTCTGGAGTCAGAGAAACCTTCTGTACGGAAAAGACATTTAACCAATGACCTGAAGTAGAAACAGAATGTATCCACACCGGGGCAGGCAGGGAAGAATCTTCTAGTCACAGGACTGGTGTATGTGAAAGAGCTGAATACAAGGAAGACCTACCACTGGAGGGACTGAAAGAGCTCAGGGTGACCGATCTGTTAACCGACAGAGAGTAAATAGGAAGCCTATGAGTGAAGCAGGCAGGGCTCTGATGGCAAAGGGGCCCTTGGTCCGACCACAGCAGGATGCCACGGACCAGCATTACCCAGGGGAGGGGCGTGATCAGAGGTGCGTTTTACAGAGTTCACATTGGCTGTTGTGTCGACAATGGGATGAGGGGGCAATACAAGATGTGTGAAGATAAGCAAACGGAAGAGAAGATGAACTAGTAATAATGCACTTGATAACTAGTAATAAAGCTTACTTTGCTGGAAGCTGCCTTCCAAGGGTCATGGTTTCATGGCCATACAGCCTGCTGATTCTCAGGCTCCCCTACTCAAAGGGACCAGTGCTCGGATAATGCCCTGCTGCCGTCATCTTTACATTCCCAAATGCTTTTCAACCAAGGATCCTCCTTTTTCAATTTTGTTCTGCGTCCCACACGTTATGTGTCTGGTCTTGGTCTCAGGTAGGCATTTCAGGCAGCCAGGTTATCTGTAGCTATTTCTCTATTAGCTCTTTTACTAAGGGGCTCCAGCAGAAAGGTCAGAATTCATGGAAGTCAGCTGACTGACTAGTGCTCTTAAGCTTTATTGGGCGTGAAGCTTTCTGTCTGGTTTCCTTCTGCCCACTGTCCATGTGTACAAAGAAGATGAGGTTCCGAGATGACAAAGAAGGGAGCTCCTTGTGATCTGGAAGCCATTTTCAAATAAGCTCTCCCATCATGCTGTGCTTCTGGCCTGACCTGAGGAATTACGCTGGAGAGGATTCAGGATCCTCAGGCATCACAGGTTCAGGGTCAGCCTCAGCTAAACTGACTAGCCTCCTTAAAAATACAGACTCCTACATCAACCCTGGATCTACTGTATTAGAAGCTTTATGGCTGGAGTCTGGGAATCTGCATTAACAACAACAACAAAAATCTTAAGAGATAACGTGAATAAGCAGCCAACATGGATAAGCAGCCAGGATGGAGATTCACGGCTATAAAAGCCTAAAGGAAGGGGAGAGGAAGTGGGTCACCCTGTGGGTCTTGGCCGGCTGCCAAGTGCTGTCAAAGGAGGCATTCAGCACAGCGTTCAAGCACGCCCAGCAGGCCCAGAGACTCACTTTTGTCCAGAATTTTTTTTGTTGTTTTTGTTTTTCCTAGTGTCAATTCACATTGATCAAGTTCACAGGAGACTGATCCTGCAACCCGAACACGAATTATTGAGTTACAGGGGAAAACACAACCATCCTGGGCTCACAGGGCTTATGCTAGAATGTCCACAGCATTTCTCCCTGGAGCAAGGGCTACGGGGAAAGGCCTGTTCTAATTAGCAGGCGGCTAAGGGCAGTTGCCTGTTACTTTACGTATGGTGGTCCCAGATCCGAGGAGGC